GAGGATATTTTAAAAATTGAAATGGCCCTTGAGACAAAAAAGGTTCCCCACCCCTGCTTTAGAAGATGTAACATGTCAAAGGATCTTTAACCTGGCACTAGTTTTATTATGAAATAATGTTTCTTTTTATAAACAGCATCCCAAAAAAGAAAGACAGTCATATAAAAAAGAAAGTTCAAAAGTAAGTCTGACAATAAATGAAATAAACAAACAAAATAAACCAAATGTTGCTGCCTTGTACTCAGCTCACAGCTACAGCGTATCAAAGGTTATGTTTATGCAGTTAGCTCGAGCCTTAAATCACAGTATGTTATCTAATTTGGCTTTAAGGGCCCTCATGTTTGCAGAGAAAACAGAGCAGTAAATCTGATATAACAAATGACGCTTGAGATGATGTTTGAAATGAGATAGAGCATTTGCATTCTGCATTTCTGACGTTATTTATCTTTTAAAATATCCCACATCAGCTTTGAGTCTCATAGGAGGTGGGGGACTTTAACCATTATGTTATGAGACATGGGTTAAGGAATTAATGAATAATTGCATGATAAATATAAACTGAAATAACCATTTAATATCTGTCTTAAAAGAACTGTATCAGCTGAACCACTGCAGGACATAGCCCACTGTGCAAGAGGCAAGTACATGCGAGCATGCGCTAAATGGAAAATGTAAATCACAGTGCAAACATACATCTTGGAATTGGTTGTTGAACAGAAATGACTAACCATCAGTGAGCCTCCGACCAATGTGGGTAGCCAGGGAGGAGAGTGTCTCATTTACATTTCCCTGGCTCTTTAGTGGAAAAGTGCCGTTGATATGAGGTTACTGGATTCAAAGATGTGGGTGGGGGGCACCTCACCACAAGAAGTTACCCCTTTCCAAGAAATGTCAGCTTTCATTAAGTGAGTTATGTGTTTCTGTTAAAGTTGCCCTGGTACAGCAGGCAATTTGATACCATATAAGAGTAATGGCGTGAGTTGGAGTGCAGCTCCGGACATTTGTTGCATGACATCCCCCCTACTCTTATTTATCGTCCACCAGTAAATCAAGCAGAGAGGCTATAAAAAATAATTTAAAAAAGCTTCCTTGCTAGATCAAACTAAAGTCCAGATGTAATCAAGCTGGACTGCAACTTTCTTCGGTGTGGGAAAGTTTGCACACTCGGCACCAAAACATCCGCTCTAGACTAGCAAAAATATTTTACCCCCTAAGAAGTCCGGGACCAATTGTCACTCACAAATGCTTGTTCCTGGAAATTTATCAGTTTCTCTTTTAAAAAAACAGTGGCAGCAGCTGAAGTTTTTTTTGTCATCAGGTTGAAGCAGGGGACAAAGCCAACAGCTCTCAGCCAGGAAGAAGTATACTTTTGGCCGAGCAACACAGGGGCAATTTGGATGAGCATGCTGAATAAAGAATGCACCGAGGATTAAGTAAAATCACTGCATAAGTGTGATTCATGAGCTATTAGTGCGTCAGTAGGCTGTGACTTGCTGTGATTCTTTTTTACCCCAAAACAAATGAACACTCATTCAACCCCTCCACACAACTCGTTAAGCTAATAGCTAACTATGTGGGTTTCAATGTGAGATGTTTAGCCTATGTTCCTCATAAAACAAAGTCAAAGGCAACTTTATTGTCAATCTTTCAGTTTGTGTGTACAGACAGAGGGATCAAAATTCCGTTTCCCACAATCCCGAATATAAAAATAAAAATGAATATATTCAGTTTCGTACAATGTCCAACTCAGTAACAGCAGCAAAATCTGCTTCAAAAGATTGAGGGAGAGATTATAGCCATGTTTGGAACTCAAAATGCAGCTGCACAACAAGCCTGAGGCAAATGATTTGAGCAGACAGCACAGTCAGCTAAATCTGTTATTATTCTGGCTGGAAAAATGTGACCGACTACATTAGTGCAAATGGTCTGAATAAATCAGGAAGAACTCTGACCTGCTGCATTCATTTAAGTTTTGAGCAGGCTTTAGTAAAGAAGGCGCTAAATCTGATTAAGTCCTTTTTGAATGACTGCATGGTGGAATGTCATGAAAGGAGATAATGTGCTCAGATTTTCTGAATGCATGCATGTAGGACATATAGGAAAAAAGTTCTCATCAGAAAAAGTGACAACATAGCCCTGGGCCTTAAATGTATGACACAGTGTGTATGTGCAGCCAGTAATGAGATCCTGATGTATACACTGTCTGTTTCCCCCAGGACTTCGCTCCTCAGGCAGAATACCTGTGGCCCCCTGACACGTCCGACTGTCAGGGAAACACCGGGGGGGCTTTCTGGAGACACCTGCTCTGCGGCACTCTGGGGCCCTCGCATGAGTCCTGACCCAGCTGCCAAAAAGCATTGGCCTGAGTGAAGTATTTGATGTAATGCCATCGCCACGGTGAAGAAGATTAGGATGCTTCGTGGTTTGGCCATCACAAGTCCTCTTATTCAACCTTTACTCCAGCCTCCTGACAGATGTCACAATGGGGATTTGAATGCTAAGGAATGAGTACGTGATTCAACATGAGGTCATATGTGCAGAACCATAGTCAATGTGAGAGGTAGTTTGTGATTTTAGTGTAATTCAAAAGGAATTATACTTGTAATATTTCATTCTCATCGTGTCTGTGTAGAATGTGATACATGCGGCAGTGAACAAGGTTAATACTTAATAATAATACCAGATAAAGTGCCCCGTAGATTTCTGTCAGTTTTATGACATAATGACTGAAGTCAACAGTGCCATTTCAACTGCTCCGACAAGCATAACAAGACCTTCATGTTTTTTCCAAACAGCTTTATCATCGCACACATTCTGACATTGTTTAAGACATGCCAACAGCTTCTGAACATGTGCAGTCAACAACCCTCTGATAGAAGTGGGAGTATATATATATCTGTAATGTCCATATTGACATGATAGCATCACGAAGTTGCTGCAGATTGGTTGCCTGCAGATCCATGATGCGAATCTCTCGTTCCACCACATCCATAAGGTGCTCTATAGGATTTAGATCTGGTGACTGTGGAGGCCATTTGAGTACAGTGAACTCAGTGTCATGTCACACTGTTGTCATGTAAGGATGGACATGGTCAGAAACTATACTCAGGCAGGCTGGAGTTTAAACTATGCTCGATTGGTACTAAGTATGCCAAGAAAATATCCCCCACGCCATGACACCACCACCACCAGCCTGAACCGCTGAGACAAGGCAGGATTCATGTTGTTTACGACAAATTCTGATCCTGATCCATGAATGTCGCAGCAGAAATCGAGACTCATCAGACCAGGAAAAATGTTTCCAATCTTTTATTGACCAATGTTGGTGAGCCTGTGCGAAGAATTCGAGCAGACAAAGACCATGTTGAGAAATGCAACAATTTCCTACATTTTCTTACTCAATTAATCAACACACAGTAAGCTGAAGTGTTGGCATAGCAAATGCAAGTCTGTTGAGGACACATGGAAAAAGATAAGGTCAGTTTAATGGCTGTCTGGGTTCTTATCACTTAAAGGCCAAACTGATTAAAGGTAGGGTATGAATGGAGAAACCAGCTCGAGTGCGCTAGAATTTGAAAGTACACAACCGAAAAAAATCTGCCCCTTCCTTCAGACTTCCTTACAGAGCCCCTCCTCCAACACATACAAACATGCAAATGACCAATGAGGGCACGAGATAAGTTTGTGCACGAGATGGAAGGCTGACAGGCAGGTAGGACATCCAGTTATCTGCCGCGGGCCGAGGCAGATAACTGGACTTGCTTTTTAGCGCGCCACGGCTTCCACAGATGAAATATTTGTATATATTTTATTGTCAAAGCATTTCATTTATTCACTGCTATTGGGATGTTAAGAGCATTCCATGGAATATAACAAAAAGTGTTTCTGAAGTGAATTACCTAGCCTACCTTTAAAGTCCCAGACGTTTTTATTTTGCATTTCTTTCAGCGCTGAAATGATGGTTATAGAACGTATGCAGAAGCAGCAGACCCGCCCTCAAAATCAATAATGCCTAATTTCCTTACTGTAAAAGGTATCATTGAAATTCAGCCATATTTAAATAAAAAACGTTCCTTCAGAATAAGATTGCAACGCTTATATACGCCAAATATAAATAATTTTCTTTGCAATTGTAAGATGAAATCAAAGCAAACAAGACAACCACAGATCTAGGTTTTAGATAAAAAGAATAATGCAAAATGTAAGATATTTAATTTGCTTCTCTACAAATATTTGGCACAAAGAGTGGAAAGCTTGGATTCTTCAGCAGTTCTGTAATGGGAAAGTGACAAATAAAGAAAGAATGGAGAGAATGGCTGATATCTTCAAACAGCTTGCCATGTGTATTTTCACGAGGGTATGTTCCATTACAGCAGAGCGCAACATGGCTGAAAAAGCCATCAGAGATGTAAAAGGATATGGTGATCGCTTGTTTCCACTGGTGAAAAAAGGGAGGGGAGCTTGTAGCATTGTAGTCATGCTTCTAAAGAGCAGATGCAGTTCTGCCTTCATCTCCTTCCGTGATGATCCCTCAGGTTCACTAAGTTAGTTGAATACAACTTGTAGGTTTAACCGGATATAATGATTTACTTATTGGTAATGTGCATTTGTCATGTAAATGAGCTTTTGAAACTTTGATTTGTTTTCTTTATAAGATAAGGGTCAATGTGTTTACTGTTGGATTTTTGTTTGTATATCTTATTAAAAAAAGGTTATAATAAGTGTTATAAACTCACCATGTTCTTGGTGTATGAAGAGATACCGAACATGACAGTATACAAAAAGATGTAATCTTGAAAACCACGAATATGAAATACAAAGTAGTTACACTTTAGATATTTTACATTATGATTAATTTGTATTATAAATACTTCCTGCGAGCAGATGTTATCCACTTATGCCGTGAGATGAAGCTGAAAACTGAAAAAAATGTTTAGTAAGTCGACATTGAGATAATCAAATGTGCTATTATTTTAACAGTCAACAATTAACCTTAAAACTTTTCATGTCTTCATGAGTTTATGAAAACATTTAAAAGCTGTGTTAAACCACATGTGAATGATTTGTAATAAATGTAAGAATTTGTCCATGTTTTTAATCGTGCTAATAAATAACACTGTGCCATAAAGCATTCATTAACTGTAAACACCAGTTACAATAATTAATAGAAAAAAAATACAATTGTTGACAAATACATTAAAAGAAACTTGAAACATGCAATCATATCGTACACTGATTATAAGTGCTAACTAGTGTGTTCGGTTAAATTCAATATTGATTTATGTTTTGTGACGATTCAGCAGGATGCAGGTTTGGCGTTGATGTTTCAGGTGAAGTGTAACATGATGTTTGGACAGTCTGAAAAGTGTTTATGTGCCAACAGCTCTGACACTCTTCTACATGCCCCCTGCAGCCATCACTGAGCATGGCCTCTCTGGTCTGCAGCTGCACTTTTTCAGTCTGTCACAAACTTTTGCATTTGAAACACGCCGTGTTAGGCTGTGCATGGCAAACCAAGTGATGTCAGATTCTTTTTCCATTCCAAATTGTTCAGTTTTACCTCTCTGTGACCTGGATAGTGGATGTCTTTAGTAGGATTTAAGGGCCTATTAAGAAATAGAAATAGTTGGTCAGGCCCAATATTAAAGCTTCTTTGGTGACACATTACCTCCTGTTGTGTTGATTTAGCCCCAGAATCACCATGCACAGCCAACAAAGCTTCCCAAATATAACTATTTCATGGATTCTTGCATTCTTGGATACACCATTTGAAACACAAGACATGTGATTTATCTCAAAGCAAAGGAAAGTAAGGACTATCTTGATTGACCCAACTTTCCAAAAGATATGAAGGCTGTATTTGATCCGAGTTTATTTTTTCAAGTCCGATAAATCAGAGCCTGCACCTATCGGCACTGTCTGGCTTTGTTTTTGTGCAAGGTTACTGCAAGGCCAAGACTTCACAACCTGATTTAATGAGACCCGATGCATCTGTTCCCAGTTTCACACCGGTGCCATCAAAACCTAAGTGGAAACAAGCCTCGCTCTGACACCCTGGACGTTTTTTGGAAACATACTTTCTGTGAAAACTGGAGTTTCGTATTGTTTCCCTCAAGAGTGAGCCTGTATTTGAGCAAATGTGCAAACGTGTAATTACTGCTGCATGGGAAAACTTTCTCTTTTCCACTTGAAAATTCTCTATTTTTTTGACTGCTCTACCACTCTCTGATGTCAGTCATTTAAAGCATCTGAAGTAAAGCATCTCAAAGCCATGAGTAATGTCAAAGGGCTGGGTCCATGCAGACAGCTTGGAGCCCCTGTGCTGCAGGACATCAGCTCTTCTGGCACCTCGGCATTCTGGGAGCAATGAGTGTGCACCCCCGAGGTTGGCAGAGAGAAGGACCATGGGTCGTTTTCCAGTGACTGGCAGAACTCATGCCTTGAAACAAATGACTTACTTTATTTCAAGTGACAGACCCACTTCTTTGCTAGCACACTTGCCCTTGGCAGCATCTTAGGCACTTTGTTCAGCAGCAACCTAAAGGAGCCAGTGGGAACACTAAATGTTGATTTTACTTTTGATTTTGGGAAGCAGAACAAATCGTCCCGGGAGTCAAAGCCACTGTTGCTTTTTGATGAAAAGCATGTTTCTGTTAATGCATAGCTGTGGTTTCGGCACATGGTTATAGTGCTATTTTGAAAGAGAAACCTATTCACAGAGAGTCTTTAAAAACGTTTTGTAAATCAGCCAACTTTATGGAAGTGGTTCAAACTGATGTCTGACACTGAAGATTTACAGGCAGTTACGGCTGGAGAATTGACATTTTCTGAGACACCCTAGTGACACAGCCTCTGCCCAAACACACTCTGAAGTCCTCTCCCCCTGTCCCTGATACTTAACCCCTTCTAAGAGCCTGGAATACATCTGATGCAGATATGGCAAAAGTACACACATCCTTTACCCAAGTAGAAGTACAGATACTCGTGTTTAAAAATACTCTGGTAAAAGTAGAAGTACTGACTGAACTTCTTTACTCAAGGAAAAATAAAGAAGTGTGGGCTTCGAAATGCACTAAAGTAAAAAGTACCCACTACTTTGTGTCCTTGGGCAAGACACTTCACCTTAATTCGCTGTACTCACTTTTACATGTCTGATATGTGTAATAATGTCATGTAAAGCACTTTGACCAATCGGAAAAGTGCTCTAATAAATGTAATGAAATGCAGATTAAAACTAAACTAACAAACCTGTTTTGAAAGTGTAAGAAGTAAAAGTAAAAAGTCGTCAGAAAAACAAGAAGTGGAGTAAAGTACTGATACCAGAAAAATGTACTTAAGT